TGGGTTCACGTGAGACCAACCTGTTTTCGTGAGACCCGTGAGACCACATTTTTACACGTAACCTTCACAGCAAAAACACTGTGAAGGTTTAAAAAAAGTCGAACCTTCACAGCAAAAACATTGTGAAGGTTTTAAAAAGTCACATTCACAGCATTTTGCTGTGAAGTTTCAAGTGTAAAATGTTGGTCTCACGGGTCTCACGAAAACAGGCTGGTCTCACATGATCCCAAGTCTATATATATATATATATATATATACACACACAACACACATATATGTATTAATAATGTGTAAAATTTTACATAATGTTTGTTAGTTTATGTTTGTATTTCTTTTGTTGGGGGATGCTCGTCCTGTCACCCGCCAAAGCCAGGAATCTCTGTCCCGTTAGGGTGTGCTCACTTCGACAGGTAAAATTGCAACTAATTACCCTCAAAGCAGGGTTTCGTGTTTTAGAGGATCATGTCCCTATTTCCCTATTTTAAAATAAAAACGAGTTGGGCCCTTACAGTTGCATTTTTGTAACGAGTTGCGTCTCTAATACAACTACACGACCTAACTTGTTAATTTATTTAATAACTCAACTCGTTAAAAAATTGCAACCACAGTTCTCATGGACCTAGCTCTTTAAATAACGCAATCACAAGGACTTAACTCGTTAAAAAACGTAATCACAGGGACACTTTTTCTTAATTTTTCAAAATAAGAACATGATCCGTCTAAAACACTGAAAGATAGAAGACGAGATATTTTGTGAAAATGCAACTGGAATTGCAAGATGAATATAAAGATAGGATTAGACATATTGAAAAAAGACTTGGAATATTACATTATCAGATTACTGATCGAAATGGTGACATATGATCGAATTCGTTCTTATTCTTCTCGAAAAAAGTATCAAGATTTTTCTACGATGGTTTTAAAGATTACGTCAGCGGTAACAGCACGGGGTGGCGGAGGGTGTGGATGTCGTAGGCAATCAATAAGTTGTCGTATACGATTGAGAATAGGTCGACACCAGAAGCATAACCCGACTTGACCAACAATGCCTGTAAACACGGCCGCGGCTAACGAAAACCCCATTAGAGTAATTTCTAAACAAGTAAATGGTTTTATGTTTGATGTTTCTAACAAGTAGATATGTTATGCTTTTGTATATGATGTTATTTAGTAACTGAAGATTTAAGTTTGTCATTGATAATAAGCAAATGTCATTTAATTAATTAAAATTAATTTTGTGAGGATTTTATCATTTATGAGAAGCATGTTATTTAATTTTTCTAATTTTTTTATTAATCTGGATATTCAACCCGCTATGCGAGCCGATTAATCCCAGGGCGACCACCCGTTTTGCGGGTAGCTCAGAGTCACTGCATTTGAACCTCCGTGGCCACAAGAAGATTTTTTATTTCTCATTGGATTCGAACCTGTGACCTACATGCACTTTTGATCTTTGGAGTCCAAGCTTAAACCAATCGGAGACCATCCTTATGGTTTCATTTAATTTTTTTAGTCATAACTATGGGTGTGTTCAGTATGCAGGATAGATTGAACGGAAAAATATAGGATAAAAACTTGTTTGATGTTTGGTTTGATAGAATGATTTTGCAGGATTTGGATTTCGTGGAAGGATTTGGAATATTTGGTGTGTTTGGTTTGTAGGATTTGGAATTAAATAAATATCATTCTTTATAAATAATTTATAAAAACAAATTATAAATAATCATAAAATAATTAAATTACTTTTTTATTAATTGATTATTACAAAATAAACGTTTGTAGTATATTTTTTTAACATTATTACATACAAATTATATGAGATTTCATGAAATATCAAATATTCCATGATTCAAAATCTTGTGTTTATAGGATTTCAATGAAATCTCTGAATTTCAGAGACATCTTATGTTTCAACAAGCTATACAAGCTTAATGGTACTCACAACTTATTCGGTCAATACTGTTTGATAGTGGTTTATTGATGTAGAAAGTGACTTATTCAGCAAGTTTTTAAAATGAAGATTTATGCAGAAAGCCAAGTTTTTCCAAACCTGTATCTCCCAATTAAAAAACTCATTCCTTCCATCTATGAAAAAAACTATACCAAACAAAACCTTCGTGATCTATACAAACAGATTAATTCACACAAACAATTTTACCTATACAAAACTTGATGAAAAACCAACCAAACATCCCAAATTTTTGATTTTCAAATTCAGTTTTTCAAATTGAGTTTTTGAGGAGATCATTCTGATAAGTGAAAGCCATAAAAGGTTTACACTTCACCCTCATGAAACCAGTTTAAAGTTACAACATAAACTTAAAAGCTTTTGTCTTCTGCAATCCACAAGTTGTTAAACCAAATCTCCAATCTAATTATAGAGACATTAAGTTATATATATATTATTAAGCTTTTGATTTCCTTTCTCCGTCGTCCTTTATCGTAAGATCGTCTAGTTTATTAGCCATCCCGTTCTGATCGTTCAGCTTTTGGCATTCCGATTCTATAGTTTGTGCAATCTTACGATCATCCTGATCGGGTTCTGGGAATTGCACGTGAAACGACCTGTGTTTGATCGGGGCTGGCAACTCCATGGCCTCGGCTTGCTGGTTGATATACTTATAGAGCTCTTGGTGGAACCCATGGTCCAAGGAGAAGCAATCGTCTTCGCCATTGCTGCTACATCCAGAGTATCGAGATGATCCGCTGCCTTCTCTTCTAACAAAATGGGGTAGAGAAGCGTAATCCATTATCTGCCATTTCAAGTAACGATGTTATGTTTCGATAATTTGTGTTTTTTCCTAAAAATGGGAAATGCGAGAATGTGCGAAACTATGAACCCCATTAAAGAACTTCCCAAAAGAACCCTGAAGAAAGAGAAGGGGGGTTCCAAGTCCGACATATATTGAGAAGAAATGATCCAAATCTAGCCAATGTGGCCCCTCCAACTGAGGCTAGACGGGTACAGACAGTCCTAGAGTGTCGAGTCCTAAAGTAGTAGATTTTGGGGATGATACCATGTAAGAATACATAGAACCCCACCAAATTACTCTCTAAGGGTGCGCTTGGTATTCAGACAGGATAGGATAAAACAAGATAGAACATAATAAGACAGTTGTTTAACGTTTGATAAGGCAAAACTAGACAAGACAAATAAAATGACCAATTTACCCCTGATGATTTGTTTATATATCTTGATTAATTTTTTTAATTTACAAAATTATAATAAAATAAATATTTTTTATAAAAAATTTATGTAGTTTCCAATTTTTATTTTTATACATTTTCTATATTATTTTTTATTATTATTAATATTTAATAAATTACATAAATTAATCAAAATATAGAAATCATATAAAAATAATATTTTGAGAACAATAAAATGGAAGTTTAAAGAGCATAAAATACAATAAATAAAATTTAAAGAATGAACAAAATGTAAAGAGCGAGACGTATTTGATGTTCTAGATGAGAATTAGGTTATTGGTAAAATAAAGGTCTTTTCCATCTTCTTCCACCGAGTAAGGGTGGAACAGGTCTGTTTCACTCTGTTCCAAATAAAAGTCCTGCCAAACGTGGAATATTGATCCTTGTTCTGTTCAGTTATATCCTCTCAGTGTACCAAACGCATCCTAAAAGAGCACTTGAGGAGAGTAGTGAGGTTCCAACATATTTCAAGTAGATATAGTCCAAGTCTAAGCCAATGTGGGCCTCTAACACGCCCCTTCCACAGAGGCTAGACAGGAACTAGTCCTAGAGTGTCGAAAGGGCCTAGACGGGTAGAGATTGCGCCACAGTCTTGAGTCCTAGGGCAATAGATCTTGGCTATGATACTATTTGAGAATATATAGAACCCATCAGATTATTCTCCAAAAGAGCACTTGAGGAAAAAAAAGAGGTTCCAAGTTCCAACATATATCAATAGAAATAGTCCAAATCTAGCTGATGTGGAACTTTAACACCCCCCCCCCCCCAATCCAACAGAGGCTAGATGGGTAGAGCCAGAAAGGGCTAAACGAGTACAAATTGCCCAAATTGTTAAGTCCAGCGGTAGACTTGGTTTCGATACCATGTGGAAATATGTGGAAACCCATTAGATTACTCTCCAAAAGAGCCAACCGGGAATAGGAGGTTACAACATATATCGAGGAGAAATGGTCCAAGAATAGCGGATATAGGACTCTAACAGTAAACAATGTGAGATTACCTTCAACAAATCGTCTTTTCCGCAACCTGAAAGCACCTGAATTTTCTTCCTTGTTCTTTCTTGCAGAAGAGGCCTCACAACCTACAAGACTTTACTTTCAGGCAAATCGCAAGCAATGTTGTTCTTGAACGATGGTTTGTTATTGAAACTGAAGCGAAAACGACAAACCTTCCAACACGCTGAAAATATGTATGGAGCATTGACAATGTAGTAGTTGTCAGTCTTTTCTGGATAGTTTAAGTCATCAATGCTAGATATAACAGTCAATAGCTGCAAAAAGATGAGAGATTCGAGTGAATTAGTTACAAAATGTTTAGGATTCAAGCTGGCATCTATAGCTAAAGTCTAAAGATTTCTTTAAATATATTGTACTTGTCCCATGAAAATGACGACATTTCCATTTTTGTAATTCATACAAGTTACAAATATCTATTTGCTCACTATTATCGTTAGAAAACACTTCCCTACATAAACATACATACAAGTTACAAATATCTATTTGCTCACTATTATCGTTAGAAAACACTTCCCTACATAAACATACATACATACATACATAGCGGGATGTTCAAACAAGAACAGTATCCAAATAAGAGAACACGCAAAAGGCAAAATCGCATGCAAAATCACATGTGATTTTACACTAATGGTCAACGCGAAAGAGTGCGGGCAACGTGGCCCACAACCTCAGGTCACGGCCAAAGTTGCATGAATCACATGTGATTTTACACATGATTTTAGTGTAAAATCACATATGATTCGACCGTTTTCTTATTTAGTTGGTATTCTCGTATGAACTTGACTCTACATACATATATATACATATATATATATATATATATGTGGGGGGGGGGGTTGTGTGTATATATATATTGAATGGGCCCAAGGATATCTTCATTTATTTCGTCATTATAGCAAGGTATTTCAGATCTTTGAMGAATAAATTAAAACACTTCCCTGCTTATACATGCATACAAACATGCATGTGTGAGTGTGTTTCATATATGAAACGTATTTTACGTGTTTTTTTGCATATGCAAAACAATCCTGAATGTTTCATATATGATAATATGAAACAACACTGCACGTTTCATATTTAAGGTTTGCATTTGACATGCTCCCCCTCTCTCTCTCTCTCTCTCTCTCTCTATATATATATATATATATAGAGAGAGAGAGAGAGAGAGAGTTAGGTTCATACAAGAATGGTACCTATTTAAGAAAATAAGAGAAAATAAGAGAATGGACAAATAATAGGCTCAATACACTAGAAACAAAACCAGGTCTTTTCCAAAGTACCTTAAGCTGACTGAGTTGTGCAATTTTAAGCCCAGTCATATCGAGAACCTTGACGCATGTGCTAATATGTCGCTCAAACTTTTTTGTAGCAGCTGGCTAGGAAAAAGAAAAGAAAAGTCAGCCTATTTGAAAGCTACTACAAGTTACTATATACGATCTTATCATAATTGAATACTTACCAATACTATCCGGTCTCTATATTCGTTTATCTGGATGTGCGATTGAACATAGTAATGAATCTAAAAATGGAAAAGAATAAATATTACACAATAAGTGAATATGCCCAAATAAACCAACATATTCATCAAGCCATGTTACTCTTTAAAACATGTTTACACAAGGCCTATAGAAGAACAAAATACAGATATACCCTCGTCTCAATTGCAGACACATTTTTTGAAGTATATAATATTTATATATGGAAAATACTCACGAGGATATATCTGTATTTGGTGAGGTTTGAACCCTTGACCTTCAAGGAGGCTAGGAGTTACCACTAACCCGGATACAGCAAAGTCATAAAACGAAAATGCAATTGCAACGGTAAACATTGTGTAAGATGGTACAAGTCAACACACACATCCTTGGTTAATCTCGACTGCAAGTACATAAAAAAGGATACTTGAAAAATAGGTTATGATATTCTTACAGATGCTTTTTCGTATGTGCTGAGCCCTACACCAACAGCAATAACAGGTCGCCCCTTTGACAAGAAACCAAAGAACAGTCAGTGAAGATCATATTGTTATCTTTAGAAACCACGCTCCCTTCATTTGATACCAAGTGTTTACTCCTAATTAGCACAAATGCCAAGAAAGCTGACATGTGTCGTATCCTTTTACAGAATCACTCCCTCCGTCCCCAAAATAAACGCCACAATGAAAAAGACACATGGTTTGATAAATATGTAATTATAACCCTTTTTAATCAACCAAATGACAATTTTACACTTAATAATAGAGAAGCAATCAATGTCTCCATTTCATAATATGGGTAGAATTGGAAGTTAAACACTTTTGAAAGTGGACTTTTATTTGGGGACAAACTAAAATAGAGACGTGAAGACTTATTTTGGGACGGAGGAAATCACCATGAGAAGGAAGTGCAAAACTAGAACTTTGTTGGTATAGAAATCAGATAGCAACATGTAGAGAACTACAAAGCATTATGGAATTAGCTATCTTTGTAAGGAGTACCTCTTTTGTGTAACCTGACATTCCTATAAGCTGTGAATCACGGACTTCTCTATAAAATTCGGCAGGAACGATTGGTTTCTGTATAATAAGCAAAAGAAAATAGCAATAAGGTGGCAGCGACCAAGACGTGATCTCGTATATCGGAAACTATTATACATTTATCACGTGAAAAACATGTCATATTCAATATCTTGCATTAACATTCACGAAAACCATAAAAATCTACATTTAAATCATATGATCCGCATTTAAGAGTTACTATTAGCAACACATGCAAATTCTTGTGGCTGTTCACCACAGAAAAAACCAGATTCACGGAATAAATTGTTGCATATGTTTTATGGTGTCTGCATGGATCTTAATTTCTGCAAATATTCATGGTGTCGATGAACATATTATGGGCATCACTATCTAACAATGTCCACCAACCACGCACAGTTCAATAAAAGATTATGTGGATTGACTCTGTCTATTTCATGTAGATTATCATTCTGAAGAACTGGAGAATGAAATAAGACATCTCAAGGTTTCTTCTTATAGGCCATAGCATGTTCTCCATGGCTGAAGGTTAGGCATCACAAGCTCGATATCTGAATCTTGTTCTGAGCACCAGATGCAAGCTTCCCAATTTAATGTCTTTTATCATCGATAGTTTTCGGCTCAAAAAAGGTTAGAGAGAATGACAGGAAACAAACTAACAAATGTGGAAATGGCAGACGAACATGATAAAACGCACAGAAAAAAGGAGGCTTGATAAAGCATTACATAATGATAGTACAAACTCACCGCCAATATATCATCGATCTCATTCTGGATCCTCCAATTTAAGCAATCAACCAGCTGAAAAGAGAATATTTCCTGATCAGAAATCTATAGAAATAACAAATGAATTCAAGAAATGAATTTGCCCTGACCATTTTGTGTGCCTTAGGGACATTTCCATCTCTTGCTTTGAGAAATCGGACCAGAGTCTCATGTGGATATCCTTGATGCAGATTCTGGAAATGAGCAGCCAGTTCTGTCTTTAGTCTTTTATGCACGTATAAGGATCACATAGACATCTATCTGTACTCCAATAGAGAACATATTCCATACTCGCAATCAAAGAATCAGGTAAATCCAGATCATATGCTTTGTGAACACCCACACAAAATTTCCCGAACCAATTCACTTACTAGGTCCAGAGATATCCAATTTGACAAAGTTCAGTTATAGACTCATAGTTGCTAGTGAAAATGGTTATCTAAAGTAACACAGAGCAAATATGAACATCACATAACCTAGGATGTTGTATTTTGTGTCATTTTGATCTCTAAATGCTATATTGATCTAGCATACATCATTCCTACCAGCTTGTAAAACTGACTCCAAGCCAAAAAAAAGGTTATAAAATGTTTTTAATAATAGTAAATTAAGATAGTATAGAATGTTTTTGAAGTAACTAAGACTTCAATATGATCAGACCTAGCAAATGAAATTTGCACATCACAAAACACCACGAAATCTGGACTCACCATTGTTGTTAATCTACATTCAATCCATAACCCCAACCAGAATACGAAAAGTTTTAATTTGGAAGTTCATATGCATTACAATTTGATATCTCTGGTCGAATTAATCAAAAAGGACTCCAATGTTGACTTAGGATTCGAATATAGTGGTTCAGATCAGCACAAAATGATTAAGAATTATGAAATGAGATCACGATTTCTCGAAACATATGATCTGAACTACATCCAACAGATCCAGCACAAACAAAATGATACAAACATACAGAGATAGAGCAAAAACCTAAACCTCGAATGAATTCTTGAGTGGCTCGTCAACTGAAACAACAAATTTGAAAAAGAAAAACGAAAATGTTAGCGGTGCTGCAGATCAAAATAATAAAAAAACGAAAATACATCAAAACAAATACAGATTTGAAGAACATTAGGGCTTTTTTATAGAAACACCGACTTGCTTCCATCAAATTCTGGAATTGCTGTATCATATCCTGCGATATGATCACCATTTCGTCGAGTCAATCTGCTTCGAAATTCTAAACCTAAAAAAACAAAAATTAAGAAACAAAAATTCGATTTGATTATGCAAAATCCTCCGCTTGCATGTACCAACCCACCTCGTTGTGGGTTGTTTTTGTGTGTGTATATGAAGCGAAGCGTAAATGGAGGGAGAAGGAGAGGGAAAGGGGAAATCGCGGTGGGCAGGCACATAATATAGAAAAAGAAATATGAGGAGTTACAAAAATTCCCCCTAAAGATTTTCATGAGTTACAATAATAGTCCTTGTACTATCAAGTAATCAGCATTTCTCTGCGATTTGCAGATTCTTTTTAACAATAACAGTCCTTCAAATAGAATTATTCCCCCTTCAAGAGTTATAGGGAACGTTTGGTTCGTAGATTCTAAAAAAATATGATGGAATTGAAATGTTGAATTTCATTGACCAAATTACATTTCTCATTTGGTTCATTCTTTTTAACGGAAATAATCTTCAAAATCCTACAAATTCCCAAAATAAATAAATTTAACATTTCTTAGCAACTATATGGTATTTTTGATGGAATGAAATTCTCTATTTTCATATACCAAATATCCTCTTAACCCAATATACTCTAATCTCATAGAACCCAGCATAAAACCTAATCTGATAAACGACGCCTCCAAAATCAAGTCGATTTCTGCTTCTCCATCACGATACCAGAATTATGCGTACAGATTTTCCAAAAATGAAGAAAATGGGGGTTTGGGCAATTTTGTGCTCCAACAAATTCTTTAAAATGGAGAAAATAAGAGAGAGAGAGAGAGAGAGTGTAAATTTCTCCAAATATGGAAAACTCTTCAAAAATGATTACCATGAGAGAAAAATTATTTTTTATGATATTCCATCAATAAAAAAACATTGAAATTAAATGTTTAAGACAGAAAAATAATATTTATTAAATATTTTAATAATATAATTAATGAAGAATTTGTTGGAGTTAAGTGTAGTTATTTTCAGATATTTTAAACTTTAATTCTCTGTTCTGGAAATTTTTTGGAAAATCTGTTGGAGATGAACACAGATACTTACTTACGGGTTTTTTTTACCAAATGTTTATCGCTTACCACCTTCATTTATCTTATTGGATAACATTCTCGGCTATCAAAATGAATTATTGGTACAATGAATGTTACCCGATAAGCACTAACTGGTAAGAACATCGGTTGTTTTCACGCCTCTTGTGGGGGTTAGATTTTTGGTCTTCGGCATGCTCACACGTTAAAGTAAGTGACCTGGTAACCGTTTGGTAAATGACTCATTCGTTTAATGAAGAAATATAATCTCATATGAATAAATTGGACTCAAATTGTCTGAAATGTAAAGTGGTGTAACTAATAGACTCTCCAGGTTTTCTAAAGAACGTAAAAAGGATAACCAATGCCTTTCAATAGAAAGAAGGATCACTGAAGTTAAACTGACTCGTTACCGTCACAGAACTTTGTTACAGATTTTTTACTTAAAGTCATGATTAACAACCATAAACTGGTTTATTGAAACCCCGTATCTGGAAAAAACAGAAACTGGTTTTTTTTTTAAACTACTTTAGAGTTCATATAGTTATTCAATAATCGCCAGAGTCTTCTGTTTTTGCTTTTTCCCAATTTATGTCCTTCATATGTTGCAATTGAGATTTTCATTATGTTTCTAGGTCGTTTTATGTTATCATATAGCTTATCAACTAGTTTTAATCACTGTTCTAAATGGTGTGACGTGTCGGCGAGGCCAATCTTGAACACTGTGTTCTCGAACCCTTTTTTACGAAGGAAAGGGAAGAGAGAGAAAAAAGAGAAAGGTAAAAAAACTCGTGTTCTTGAACCAATATCACGTTACAAAAACCGTGCATTAAGTCATCCCGTGCCACAAGCTTAACGTGACGTCAAACAAAAGCCTCGAGTCATCGTGCGCCATAGCAGTTGTTGCGGCGAGACGTTTAGAACATTGGGATTTTCAACTAGCTTATCAGTTAACTTATCAACTAGCAAACTAATTTATTAGCTAACAGCTAACTTTTTCAGCAAATAGCCGACTCATTACCATGAGTTTTTAAACTTGAAGGACCAAAAATGTCAATAAAACAAAGTTGAAGGGGCTCATTTAAGTCATGAACGTGAAAAAGGTTGAAGCCATTATACGACTCTCTAGCAAGCATTAAAATTTCACACACAAAAAAGGGTTGGAAACATGAATGCATGTCAATAAATATTTCAACTTATCAATTTTATCGTGAAATTTAGTTGTTGTAATATTTAATTTTTATTTGTAATTTTAAACTTTTATTAATTACTCGTGAAACGTAAAAATATAGTTATGACGTATGTATAGTAAGAATGGTGATTTGTCCCGACTTGATGGGCAACCCGGCTCACCTGACCGAATGAAGACGGGGATTTCCCGCTAAAACAGGTCCCGGGGTCGGGGCCGGGCCAGATATTGTACCCCTGACTTGCCCCATACTCGTATTCGGTATATAATTTTATTAATATATTTATATGTGTGTGTGTATATATATATATTATTTATTTTCTAAAATTAGGTCTTGACCAGAAAATAAACCGGGAACGGGATGTTAATCCCTGTACTCGTCAGGGGACGAGGCCGGGGGCGGGGATTACAAAACCTTCCCCATCCCGCCTCGTTGTCATGCCTAACGTATAGGTCATCATCTTAATGTAACATATATTTTTTTTTTAGAATAATTTTTGAAACAGATTGTTATAAAAATGTTTGTATTTTTGTAGATAATCCATTGTTTAATTATACAGATTAATAGAGCAGTATAAATGTTTAATTTTTCATACAAATGGTATAAAATGATCTTTTTTTATTAACCTGTATATCCAACCCGCTATGCGAGCCGACTAATCTTAGGACGACCACCCTCTTTGTAGATAGCCCAGAGTCACCAAATTTGAAGATTCGTAGTTATAAGGGATTTCTTATTCCTCCTTATGATTCGAACCTAAGACCTCCAGACACTTTTGACCTTTGAAGCTCAAGCTTAAACCAATAAGTCACCTCCGCTGTGGTTTAGTATTAAAATGATTGTTGCAAAAGGACAATGTTTCATAAGTCCTATTAAAACACTATAATCGCGCAATACAGTGAGACACATATCGATTTTAATGTTCTATTTTATTATTTGTCTCTGTCGATGTTATAATACAATTTTATGTGTTTTTAAGAAAACAATAATGATTTAATTTTTGAATAAAATATAAATTTGAAGATATCATAAAAATTTGGAAGAAAAAAATATATCAATGTTAATATCAAATCAGCTATTTAAAAGTTTTCATTTTTCATGTAATTTCTTTAATTTATTTTTTATTATAATTTAATTCAAGCTTAATAATGAAATAATTTATTTTTGGTTTAATAATATAACATTTTATAAAGATAATAATTAAATACTATGTTAGATATCAATGGTTATCCTAATAATATTTTAGATTTTTTATAATTAAAATGATATGTTTATCCTGTATTTGATTATGTTTATCTGCAGTTAGTTACATGAATTCAGATATGGAGCTTTAATAAGTTGTACTTACGCACAATCTACTTGTAATATTGAGTTTTAAATAATAGGCGTTATAAACTATACTTTACGCATAAAAAATGGTTTTCAAGAATTTTGTCAAACGCTTTAAAATATAGTATAGATATGATTTCTACAAATGTTATTTTCTTCAAAAGTTTTATAGGGTTAGAGTTTTCTTGTGTGGTTCTATGATATATTACCTTTTGTCTCTTTAGTTTTAAAATTATAAAATAGTCATCGTGATATGTAGAAAACGTTCGGATCTAGTTTATTCTTCTAACAGTCATTAGAGGGAGAGACCAAATACAGACGTTTTTACAAACCACAATGGTCATCTTGTCATTTCAAAATTACATGAACGAAAAATGTTATTTCCGACAAATCAGAACCAAATTTATAGTTTACTTTAAAATTAATCATAAAATAGACGTTGTTACATATAGATAAATTAGAATGAATTCTAATTACCAACGGGTTTTTGGCCTAACGGTATGTGAGTCTTTAATTTTCTAGGAAGTCAGGGGTTTAAACCTCACCAAAGATGAGAAGGGTGTGTGAGTTTATTTGTTATATTTGTCGTATACAAATATTATATACTTTGATTCGATGAAGCCATTAAAGAAGCTATTAATCATTGATCGGAATTTTAATTATATTGCGTGCCCTTCAATAATAATGGACCTTCATTATTATTATACCCATAATTATTAAATTTAATTATGGATAAATTTAATGACAAACGGATAAGAGATTGTTTGACAGTTGTTGAATGGTTTGGTCTAAAATGATTAAGTAGTCAACATGATTAAAAAACTCTTATGATATAGTGTAAAATGAAATTAGAGCGTTGAATGGTTAAGGGAGACTCATGATACAAAATTATTCAAAGAGTTTTAGAACCATTAATAGACAAAACAAAATTATCAGACAAGATTCACCTCTTAAAGATTCAAATGTTGCTTCTTATATGAAATTATTAAGAAGTAAACAAACAATCCCAAAATATGTAGTAATTATTATTATACCCATAATTGATTAACCAAAACCATATTTTCGACATATTTATCGAAACGGTTTGAAATTAATACAGGTCCAAATAAATAACTGTAAATATTTTGAGAACAAATAAACCATTTATCTCATGTATTATTCATGATAAAATATCATGTTAACTGTTCATAATAAATGTCATGATATATACTTATTTTTTGATTAATCATAGAATTAAACTCAAAACATCTGATTATCAAAAATAAATATTCAGCCACAAGGATGGTGCCTAATTGGTTTGAGTTTGAGCTATAAAGGTCAAAAGTATATATAGGTCTCAGGTTCAAATCCAATGAGAAATAAAAATCCTCTTGTGACCATAGAGGTTCAAATGTTGTGACTTCGGACTACCCGCAAAGCATGTGGTCACCCTGGGATTAGTCGGCTCACATAGTAGATTGGATATTCAGGCTACTCAAATAAAAAAATATTCAACTGCAAATAGAAGTATATGTGTTTTTGATAACAGAAGGAGGAGGCCCCTCCTAT